ATGGTATAAAAAAGGACGTTTTATTCAAAGAATCTCACAAATTAGGCACAAACAGTATAATAGAGTTTAATGATCATTGTTTTATTAAGGAACCTGTGTGTGACATGCATTTTTGTATGCTTGGGAACAATACCATTTCTCAGTTCTCCTATTTTTTATTCTCTGCTCTATGGAGAACTTTCTTGTGTCTTTGGCAAATGTATGAATTTTATCCTTTTTTTTTTTTTTCAATTTCTGAAACTTACCTAGGTGAAAACTAAAGCATAGTTTAAAAACAGTCATAAAACCCTGGAGCAAAAAGGGGGTTTATGCTTACAGAAATAAATGGTCACAGTGTTTTCCTGTTCTAAGCCACGTTAATAAGAGTGGGATAGCTTTCAAAGGTTTGCTTTGGTGCAGTACTGCCAAATGTGTGCCAGGAGTCATCTTCACTCTGAGATACGTCCTAAGAGCCACTTCAGTGGCTCTCAGTATCAGAGAATACTACAGGTATATTTGCATTTATTCTACGGACTTTCTGTTAGCTTTCTGTGCAAGATATCCCTATATCTGTGCCTATATCAGTTTTGCTTTTATAATTGATTTAATGAAAAAAAAAGAAGTAAAATAACACATAGGTATAAGTGCATTATTTTGAAAACTTAACAGACTATAAGTAGATTTATTTTAGTTGATACCATATGGATAACATGCTACTATACACCCTTTACTATTTGCTCTGTAGCTACTTTTGGCACTGTCATTCATAGACTAAGAAAAACAAATTGTCTTGTAGAGTACATGGAGTGAGGTGAGGTGAGCTTAAATATTGGTCTAAAATAAGTGCTTATGAAACGACTAACTAAAACCTGTAGTAAGAACAGTGCTTGAGGTGCTGGAAATTGCCGTAGATCCTAAGAAAGTCAGTGGGGGACATGAGTTGATGTCTGTAAAGCTATGATACTTTGAGTCACTTTGCACCCAGTGTTTCCCTAGATACTTGGTAAAGAATGGAAGAGGTGTTCAAACTTTAAAATATTTAACTGAAACTAAATTCCCTTGAACTTGCAATGGTGCTGGGGATGGGTTTAGCAGTAGAAGGTTGGTGTTGTGAGTGCTTCTTGTGTCAGAGTTGGCTTCCAAGACGCGGGTTTTTTCATATGACAATGAGCTACAAAAGTAAGGATGCTGTGCCACAGCGGTGGGAAGTTGTAGGTGCTGTTGCCAGTATTGGTAAGAAATTTCTTACACTTTAATTTTTCTTAAATAATACGCCCTAAGTCAACAAAATCAATGGAATACAGGTATAGGGTTGCTATTCCATTTTAATCTACTTTTCAGTGTGAGGACAAGCTGTGAGCAGCTGTGTGCAATGTATTGTGGAGCAGTAACCTTAATGTGGGAGTCTGTTTATTTGCATAAGAACCATAATGTTTTATACTGAGCTCATTGTGTCATGTTATTTGAACACATTGAAATAAAAGAGTAAACTACACTATACATGTTGATCAATGCATGAAGTAGTTCTTTGTGTTGATGTTAGTGTAGCAGTAGTTATGTAGGATAGTACAATTCTTTGAGATACTTCTTGAAATTAGGGAAGCATGATTTTGGGATTTTTGATGATTGAAAGTTCTAATATTGTAGGCAGTTATGTTCCTTATGATGATTTAAAGAACAGCTTCCCTAAACAAACTTAATAACAGAATTAATTTTAACATGTAGAGAAGAATCTCTCATCAAATGATGGCAGCACGTTGATCATAGCAAGGACACTATTTGCATTGTAGGATGGCTTTTGTGGTAATTGTATTAGTAACAAAAAGCAGCTGAAGGTTTTCAGGGAATTTTTGTACTTAAAAAATGCTGGAAACTACTTAAAAAAAAAAAAAGGAAAAAGAAAATCTTACCTTACAATGAATTAATGGTCTTAGATGAATCTTTGCTGTTGGGTAAGACATTCAATACACTTCAGCCAGCTGGCTTAAGTCCTTGTGAGAATACACTTGTTCTAAGGAAGATAAGTCTTTTTGATGGTTAGTTCACTGCAACCTGAGCCTCACCTTTTTCTTGACGTATATAACCAAGTGTTTATATATTCACAAATCTTATATAAATACATGCAGTCCCAGAGCCTTTTCAAGCATTTCCATTATCAGTGTTTTATGATTTGTTTTACGTTAAAGCTTTCCTACTTGATGTAGTGTTTTAGGCCATAAATACTGATTTTGATGACAAAATAATTAGGTTAGTTTATGTTAAACAAACAGATAGCGTTTTTGGAGGTCTGTTGGATTTCAGATGAGTTTTTAGGAACACTGTATAGTGGTCTGTAGAAACTAAATCTATTACAGTAGAGAGAGAACTGCCAGTGCCTGATACTTCTAATCAGTTGGGCGATGCTGTATGAATGGAAATACTTTCCTTTTTCTTCATTGAAAAAAAGTCCTTTGCTGACAGCAAATATGTTATACTCTGCCAAATGAAATAGTGCATGAAATTCTGCTCTCTTTTTTAAGGAAGAGGTTTCGTGTAGTTGCCATGATTGTACATTGAAGTACTGAAGTTTCATTCAACCTAATTATATTTTTCGTCTTTACTGTAACTAGTGATCAGATAATTATTCTGGCCTTAAAAAATAATCTATAGTTATTATAGATGCTTGGTAGCCAGTTTCATTACTTGAATTAAAGATATAAAAATTATTTATTAGTAATTTTTGAAAGCAGAAATGTGCTTTTAATGCTTCATTATGTTTTACACACTGATGTTGAAGCTTCTGAGTTTATTTTCATAAGAGTAAACATGGATATTCTAGGAGTGTACATGTGGGTCACATACTTCTTGCTGTATTTCATAAGTGCTTTTTGAAAATTAGGTACATCTGATGTCTCTAGACTAAATATGATCTCACAGGAATAATTAGTCATTCCTTGGAAATAATTATTTCTTATTGAAAAATAAATGCCATAGTGAATTCAATCCATACTACAATGTGCATCCATCCATGCACATGTGACACTGTTTTTCTCTTTACTTGGTCTGCTCTTCTGGACCATGTATTTACAAGAGCCATTGAGAAATTGTTGTCTTGTATGCTATAAAGAGCCTAGTAAAAAAAAAAAAAATCTGTAAATTGGATTTTGCTCTAAAAGAATGTGTTGTCTCTTTTGAGAGGTTTTCCTCTTTCTGTCTTTTACTTGACAGTGTACTGCATTTGTTTTTCATGCTGAGATAAATAACTGCTAAACAGAGAAAAGGAAAGAAAAAATTACCTGGAGTTTCATACAATAAGGTTATTTCCCCTCTAGGCAGGGAGAGATGATCACAAGCAATAGTATTGTACGAAGTTACCCTTCCTTTTTGTAACTGATACATGACTGCTCCCCATTTAGTACAAATGTGAAGTAAAATGGATTTGCTTAAATTATCTCTGTTAGCTGCGTGTGACCTTCATTGGGAATGAAGATAACCCATTTTACTTCAGGTTTTTGTGGCTTAGAAGTATTTCATGACCACCTGTAGCTTTTCAGGCAAGCATTGGTACCTCTAGGATGAAAACTGTGGCAGCCAAAGAAATGCTAGTTGGACTGTGTGCTTTCACCTGACGATGCTGTTTGACCATTGCTTGCAGGCATGCACCAAAACTGGTGGTGAAGACAAAGGCGGCTTGCGTGGTGTTCACTCCGGCACCGTCTACCCACAGCCGCTACCCATGGTTTGACCGCTGGTCTCAGGTGTTAGTGTTTGCACAGTTCTCATTTCAGCGAGCTGAATGACTTAGGCTATTAAGGGGTGAAAGGGGAGCACCTGGAATCCCAGTAAGGAAGGCTGCCCGATGCTTCCCAGTATAGAATGCTGGTTGGAGTTTTATGTAACTTTGCAGAACATTAGCCTTTGGGGCTAGGCCATTGCCTCGAGCTTAATTTTTTTTTCTGCCAAAATTATTTAGCTATCTGTAAGAACATGTGGAAGAAGTTATTTCTCATTGTAATTTTTTTTTTTTTTACAAACAAAAAGAACCTTTTTTTGGAAATGCTCCGTATCCCTCCCTTTGAAGCAGAGACTAGGAGTTAGATGGCAGTGTGGGAAGCGCTGGTGATAGGCACTGGGGAAGAAGAGCAGCTTGTGAGTCACGGCTTTGCCTTTGTCAGCAGTGCGAAAATCTCTGATCTAACCAAACTGTAACCTTTTAAAGAAATCACAGTTCTCGCATGCCATCTTGAGTGTGGAAGGGGAGAGGGAGGCTGAGCTGGGGGGCAAAACCAATGCCTTGTACCACAGCACCTGAAAGCCAGAGGCAGACCCGTGGGGCACAGGCACACACGGGGCTCTGGTGTGCCCCAAAATACCATAGACTGAACAGGGGAGACAGAGCTGTGGTAAGAGTTAATACAACGAGGTGTTGGGGAACGAAGGAGAGGGAGTCGGGTAGAGTGTGGCACTGCCACCCAAGCCTGGAAGTGACTGAGGCGGGAGAGGTGAAAAGCCTTGGGCAGTGGGGGTGAGGAGGGACTTGGCAAGGGTGCTGAAGGTAGCAACGAAGAAGGAGCAGGGCTTGAATCAACATGGGCCAGTGGATATGGCTGGAGGAAAACAGGCAGAGGAGTTTGTTCTGGAAGGACCTTTTCTATAGAGATCTTTGAATAGAAATAAACAGTCTTTGATTTCAGTAGAAGCTCCTTGAGAATATATTTTTAACCATCACCTATTGCTAGTCCCTGTGCAGAGAATTGTTTTGTGTTTGCAACCAGTTTGCTCCTTTGCCACAATGGTATATCTAAATATAAACTGCTGGTTTTTGTAGGTGTCAGTGTGACCCCATCATACAACGTCTGATGTCTCAAATTCTTTTTTCTAGAAGTGGCAAATTCAAACATTTTTGCTGCGTGGCAGTGTCCAACTTAAGGAATGTCAAAACTGAACTTGTCTTTGCAAAGCTCTTCTGTTTGGCCCCTTGTGAGGAAGCTTTGCAATGTAATGGTATTTAACTGCACGCTGATGTGCTGTTTTTTTCCGCAGGACCCCTGCTTCGTTCCGTGCGCGGGATGGACTTGCTCCAGGAATGAATCTGGTTGATGCGGTGGAGAAGGCTGTTCTCTGTAGTACCCCTGCCTCACTTCCAGCAGAAGTCGGGACGTGCGTGGCGGGCGAGGCAGGGGATCGCGGGAGGCAGAAGCCGTTCTGGTGCTCTGCGCAGCTGCATGCTGCCCTGGCGAACGGGACTCTCTTCCTGGCTGTGCTGCAGACTTCCTAGGTGATGCTAGGTGAGTTGCTCATTCCTGGCTTTTGTCATGTCTTCGCTAACTGTATGTGTCTTGCTTTCTTGCGGATGACTTGAGATCTTTGGATCTGATTTGGAAAAGTGCTGAGCACTGATAATTGCGAGTGAGGCAGTGGGGGTTGAGGTCTGAAAGTGCTATATAAAGCACAATGTAATGCTAAGTGCTGTGAAAAAATTAGGTCTGAGTTATGCCAAACTGGAGACAAAGTTGTCTTTAGAATTGGAGAATCATTTTGACCTTAAAGCCATTGCTGCTTTAGTTAAGGAGTTAGGATAACACAGTTATTCTAAGTTAGAAGTAACAGAGTAACAGTATGACTAAACATTATGTTGATAATAATGGTGCTCAGCTGCACCATTGAATTCACAAAGAAATCACTTGTTCCGTCTTCCAAAAAAAATTTGAATAGTGTGCAGTAAATAAGGTATCGGACCATACGCCGAATACTAAGAGTAAAACAGATCACTGTTTTGATTAGTGGTAATCCTGTATGCTGAATGAAGCAGGGGTGCTGTGGAAATGGTATGACATAACTGCAGTGTATAGCATGCCACTGAAGCAAACAAAGGGAAAGTTTAAGTTTCTCTAAAACTTAGTTCTGACATTTCCTCCTGTGAGTGCTTGCCTCTGCAGATTGGGTTTAGTGTAGTTGTTTGTGTCACGTAATATGATTTGGGGTGCAAGAAGCACAGCATTTTTTGATGCTGTCAACTCAGTATATGTACATGAAACCAAAATGACGCGTAAATTCATCATTCATCGCAGGCACATGCCTCTTGTGCCTGGTTATTGTATCAGATACAAAGTAGACAGCGTTTGTAATGCCCACTATCAGAAAGGCTTGAGGTCAGAATTTCATCTGCATTTCTTCAGGCTCAGGATTTGTATTTTCCCAGTGTGATGTCCATAGCTAGCTACGACGCTGTTGTAATCAGTAGATAACAGAGAATTTTTTGGCCAAGGCATGGTTAAGCTAAATATTGTTTTAACTTAGCTAACCTGAATGCAAAATACCTAACATTAGATCAGATTTTATGAACTAACCAAGAGCGTGTCTTCGGTGCCTAGAAACGTAGTGAGCATGTTTGCCAGATAAGCTGTTACTCTCTATTGCAGGAGAGAGAGAGACAGTAAAAGCTATGAAGCTTTGATAATGGCTAAATATTATATTAAATACACAGAGTATGAATGCACGTTCCCCTTCCAGCCTGCTCATGGGGGATCTACTACATATGGCTCTGTGAAAGGCTGCAGTAATGCTTTAGGTGCCGAGCAATATTTTTAAGTGCTGCTTTCTAAGAAAACCTGAGGTATTTTTGTTTGACTACTGCTGTGCAGTGCAAGTTGCTCTTTAAATCTTTAAACATAAACACACACAAAAAAGGCGAGGGGGCGGGGGAAACAATCCGTATTTTATGAGTAGAAGTTAAAAATGAAATTATTTGCTTTACCTCGAGCATTGAAAAATTACATTGCAATGAGACCGACGCAGTAGCACGCGTGACGAAAGAAAGGATGGCACAATTCGCAGAGCCCGCTGGCGAAAAGCAGGGGACTGGAACAGCACGGGTGTTGTGGCCCTGCGGGGCAGCGCGCTGGCAGAGCTGCGCGGGGAAGATTATCGGCTAATGTGGAGAGAGGAACGCCAAGAAAAATAAAAAAACTCTGCCGTTCCTGCGTATCCCATAAAATGAGGCAGGGAGAGAGGAGGAGGGCAACTTGTTTTATCAGTGTGCCTACTTTATTTTGGTGGCACGTCTAATCCCGTCTGGAAAATGTTTTCTGTTACGTGAAAGAAAGAATGGAAATGGAAGCTAATTTTGAGCTAATATATTTTGAAAGCAGCTAAGAATAGTGGAATTTTATTCGGCCTGCTCTATTTCTACAATAGAAAAGTAAAATTCCTTTAGGTTAACTGAAACATCTGTTGAACAAATTGGTTCAGTTTCATGAGTCTGTTACTAATTCTGAGTAGTAGATGGTGTTTTATAAAACCAGTAGAGTCGGGGGGTTAGTGCCCATATTCTTTCTTTTTTTTTTTACTATTATTAAAGTAGGTCATTTTGAAGTGTTATGTTTTCATGAATACAGTAATACTGTGGTTAATATTTCTAGTATTTCAAGTGCTGCCTTTGCTTTAATGGGTTTTCTTCACTGTTTTTAATCAGCGTTATTAATATTCTTTAATGTCCTGGGTTTCCAGCTTTTTATCAAGTTCTTAGTAATGAAGTAACTGAGTAATTTTTTAAAAAAACCTCTTTCAGTGCATTTCTGCATATATTTCCTTGTTTCTGCAGTTTTTCCTACTGTGTTTTACTTATGAAATTTGAATGTTAACAGGATTTTAGTTGCTGCTACTGCTGTTTTCTTGTTTAGACTAATTATTCTTTGTGTGTTAGTTCACAGCTGTGGGAAGAATATTGTAGGTGACAAATCAGTTTATGGTTTCGCATGGTGGAAGCTAAGAATGTCATAACGTCATAGAGCTGATGTCATGAATTAATAAAAGAAGAAAAAGGGAGAAATTAAAAACAGTTTCTAAGATTCTGTTCCCATGCATCAGGAATGCTCTAATTTGGTCTCATACACATTCATGCATCTTAAAGCAGTTTAGGTTTCTCAGGTACATCTCCTATCAGTATCGTCACTGAAAGGAAATCACAAGCAAGCGTAATGCTAGTATGCAGATCAAATTGAGTTCTGCGTGCTTTACTGTTAAATATATAAAACCAATGCAAGTTCTTCTTGTGTACTACATGTAACTAGCTGTAATACTTTGACAGATTTAAAGGGAAAAGCTGAACTTCGAATTTAGACAGTGAATATGTATTTTCTTTGTAGTGCATATATTACGTGGAAGATACAAGACTGGCATTGAACATGTAAATTCACTGTGATTGTAAGCTATGGCATTTTCAGCTGTGTGGTCAGGTTGTCTGTTCAGAGTAGCTCAGTGTATGAAGGATGTGAACAGAAGTTGATAAGACTTTCTAATGTTGCTTTAACAGATAATTTCCTTTACTTTTTATTACGGCTATTTTTGAAGCTTTAATACATGTTAATTATGTGGTAATTTGGTTGTCGTCTTTGAAGTAGAAGATAATGGAAGTACAAATAAGAGGGTCAGCAGTGTGGGATATCATTGCCTTTTGAGGGATTGCTGGGTTGGGGAGGAATGGAGATGTGTAGTTGAGTTTTGTGAAGGTGCATGTGAGTATTGGCAGCGCAAGGAGCCTGCCCCGCTGCTGATAAGATGTTCCAAACTCCTCTTGTGTCAGATTTGTCCTTGGTGCAGCTCGCTGAAGTTTCAGATGACGTGCATGAAATGAAGTGAGGGGGAAGTTTTGTGGCTGAAGTCCTGTGCCAAGTCTTTTTGAAGTCGTATGCAGCAGCTGTGCTGTAGCTAAAGAAAGGCTTTCTTTGCCTCCATCGTAACATCTGCATGATCTTTAACAGCAGAATTGTTCCACTATGATGTATCGTTTAGCTAATCCGGGTTGCCTTCATTAAGTCTTTTTTTCTTTTCCTTATTAGAAATGCTCACATTACTTTTGGGAATAAGTCTGCAAAGATCTAGACTTGACTGCTGCTATGTAGAAACAGTAAGTTTCAGTCAAAAAAAAAAAAAAAGAAAAGGTCAAAAGAGGAGTTGAGACTTTGAGCCTGTAGCTCAGGCTGTTAAGGTAATTGGGGAGCTTTAGACTGCACCCCAGGAATTGGATTTTTCTGCATCCTCCTTTGTTTGGAGGATAGGGGCTGAACACAGGGACAGTTTTTGTGGAGATGTCACAAATGTGGCATCATTGCAGCTAACCTTGGTCTAACGGCTTCCAGAAGCACGGTTTGCACCCTCCCTGCTGAGGCATTGCCCCTTCTCCCTTGTGCCAGCACCGCTGCTGCTGCCGCTGCCACCACCACTCTGGGGTGAGTTAGCTCCGGGAGCCAAACCGGTGGTCAGCTAACCTCATTTTTGGTTGGCTTTCTTGGCTGTCTCTTTAACTCTTTGAACTTGCTAACTGCAGAGTTGGACAAACGTCTGCACTGGAAGAGGGGCGGCAGGACCAGCCTCTTCTAGTTGCAAATTGGCTTGTCTGCCACTTTGAAACCGTGCCTTGACTTGAGGCAGGAAGAAGGCAACCGAGGGAAGTGTTTTTGAAGAAGTGCACAAGTTTGACTGTATACTGTGTTTACTTTGAAAGTGAAAAGAAATCAGTAAATCAAGGTGTAATTGAATTTTAAATTTTAGCTTTAGTGTTTCTTTTAGTTGGAGGTTTTTGCATAAGGACTTTTAAACTGAATCTTTATTTAATCTTCTTCCAGTTTGAGACCAAGAGGTCTGTAATTGGTCACTGTTAGCACCACAAAGCTGGCAAGTTCTCATAGTTAAAGGGTGAGATCTATTGGTCAGAAATAAGAGGTTGTGGTCTTGGAGAGCAAAACAAAAAGGTAGTAGAAATGCTGACACTTCTCTGTGTTAAGGATTTTGGTGACCTTGACCGTAAATATCTTGCATTTATAGGGGGTACATGACTCTGAAGCAGTATGTCATGAACTAAATCTGGAGGAATACATTGTAAATTAAATGTGGGTGGGGGTTTTTTGTAAGAAAGTATTATCACAATTTATCATCAGGAATTACTGGAGATGCATTTGCTTTTCAGTTGAACAATACGATCAGTCTTCCTGCTGTAAACTCTTAGGAAAATGACTGTCAATGGAAAAGCAGAGTGCTGATTTACGTAATTGTAGTCATCGCAGAAGTTTGGTTTGTGAGATCCAATTAACATAAACAAGCAAAGTAAGAGAAAAGGCACAGGAAACATACCGCTGCTTATTAGGGTTGTTAAATGGTATTTTCAAAATTATCTTCTAGTCAAATAATGATTTTCTTCCGATTTATGCCAGGAGGACTGTGTTACTCCCCATATTCAGTGTCTGTAAAATTGCACGTATACTTGCCACAATGAAGAATTAATACCATA